GTATGATGAGTGGTGTATTGATGAGTGGTGTATGATGAGTGGTGTATTGATGAGTGGTGTATGATCAGTGGTGTATGAGTGGTTCTTGAATGTCCGTAACACGGAAGTTTCGTACACTAAACTTCCTTTGATAATCTAAAGGGCGTCCATTAACCACCCCTTGGGGGTCCTGGTATATTCCCCAGGTACAGGTATTTATAACCATATGGATAAAGGACCAAAACGTCACCTGAATCTGCATAAAACCGCCAGGAGGCAGGGTGGGGTTCATGTGCCCGGTCGCCGGGAAGTTGATGAATACCACGTGCTCCATGGCGGCAACGGATCAGATCGCTGAGCGTCTGGAAGCGCGTCGAAAAGCCGCGTCCCCGGTCTTTGAAGAAAGAAGGATCAACGGTTGACATGAACCTGACATAAACCGTCTTGGAATATGGTGATCGAACTGCTCATACCGAAGTCACGAAGTCTGGTGGTCTCATTCCGCCCTTTGGCGTGGGCCGCAGGTCGAAGCCTCCGAGAATTGGTGTAAACAACTCTTCCACAGTGCCCTTCTCCACTAAACCATCTTTGGGACAGATGTTTCACACCATCAAGCTTGAGGACTCAGAGAAGGGACTGAACATGGCGCCGGCTTTCCAGATCTTGACTCTTGACCGATCCAAATCTCCTCAGACTCAGAGCTGAAACTAGATTCAAAAGACCGTCGCTTGTTGACAAGTGGACCGTCATTCTTTTGTGGCGCAGGTCCTGATCCTTCGTTCGAAGTTCTAACCTGCGATCTCTTTTTGCCTGGATCCACCTTGGGCAAATGGCCATCTGGGGAGCTTCACCACTTGGGGGAGCGACGCGGACTGGACGGAGGTCTCACGCGAGGTCTCCCACTGAGGTCTCCTGCTCACAGGCCATGGGATCACTGCTCTGCAAAGCCTGAGCGAGGATGACTCACACACCCTCAGCCGCGGTGACCGTGGTGTGTCGATATGTATTGAAAAAGAAGTGTCTGCAGTGTGCAGGTCCGGCTCTTTTTCCATATTCAAAAGGGCACTCCAACACGTGTTGGGAAGGGATTCATGTGTCAATCTACTTTGCTCACAAATCCTCTAGCATGATCGCTGCGATCATCCCAGCAGTCTGGCTAAGCATGCAGTCTGGTGCAAGTCCATTGCATCGTGACCATGTCGAGCCACAACACCTCTATGGCACCAGTGCCCATGACGAGTGAGAAGACCTCTATGCCCCACCCAGCTTGCACAACTCCAAGCCAGGCCCAGCTTACCCACGAGGGTCCGTGGCTTGACGTGCATGCCAAATACAGGAACAATTGGGTGCCGAATCCAACTCTTTCCATGCTCAAGGCCTCGCCCATGTTTTCCCCACGGGCATGAAGGAAACAGACATAGAATGTGGGTGGCCCACTGTATGATAGAGTTAAATCTTGTTGACCTGGGATGCTTGTTTGTGGTGACGGAGATGGATTCCTCCCACCGTTGTTCTCACTTTCTCTCTTCTCCCTCCCATCTTCTCCTGCTTTTTTATGCCTCTTCTCCTCCTTCTAATTCTTCACGCTCTTCTCCCTTTCTCTTTCTCCTCCTCCTCCCTCTTCTATCCTCTTCTTCCATGTGTGCTTCTTCTCCCACTTCTCCTGCTTCTCCCTCGTTTTCCTTCGTTTGTTTTCCCGCTCCTTCTCCTTCTAAATTCTAGGTCTTCTCCCATTCAAATACAAAGAATGTCCAATTCATCTTCGAAGCATTAACAGTTGTGCACTGGTCTTTGCTCAGATTCGTATTTGTTGTTTATCACCTGAAACTACTGTGAGATCGGAATCGAGTCACATAGATGCTTGCATCTGCAGATTCTCACAGTGCAAAAATTTGTGATCCCCCATCCATGTCGTCATCAAAAGAACACACGAACCGACTACATCTTCGAATTCGGCAATAAAGAAACTCTGTCTTCGAACTCGGACTTGGACAGGTGAAAAAAGAGCTTAAGAAAGGGGTCACACCCATGGGCCGTCACACATCCACTCAATGATGTCCGACCTGAGGATCAACACAGCGAGTCTGGTACCAATTGGTTGTTGCCTTCGGGGTATCCTCTCTGGTAATCAGCCAACCAATATAAAAACACCTATGTCATCCACTGGGCTGGGGCCCGCATCTTGAAAACACGGCAACCATCACTGGACACCTGTTTGCCACTGGACCCAGATCCATCAGAACGGCCTCGAGATTGATGGGCCTCACCGTTTGCTTCTCCGCATCGGACAAATCCAACTCGGTGAATCCCTGTCGCAGCGGTGGATTGGACGCTCCAGAAGCTCAGCCGAATCAGAAGCTCACAAATGTCTCCGCAAAATAGGTTTCCAAACAATTATACTATCAGGGACAAACAGTTAGAATATGCCAAAAATATTGAAATGCAGTTAGAATATGAAAAAATGTAAGTCCAAGATGTTTTTGGCGGAGCGCAGTTAGAATATGCTTTATGATTTTTGATGATTTTTCATGTTAGGCAAAGAATGCAGTTGGAACATGCCTTATGGAGAAGAGACGGCCAAGAAATTAGCAGCCGGTAGCTGCAGATTTGATGCGCATCCTTTTTTTTCTTTGTTTTCTGTCTTCTGTATGGTTGCGGTTGTTTCTTGATCTCTTGCACGTCGGATGAATATGCAGCTATCACATGTGATCAGAATACTGCAATGTATGTAATTGATACAGTCTTGATATGTGTGGCAGCTCTTGGGGTCGCTTTGCACTGTAAATACCATATGGTCTTACAACCTCATATGGTCGTTTTGATTTTTGCTGTTGCTGCTGTTCTGAAACTTCTGGGTCGAGAAACGCTTGAAGCTGGATTGTTTACAGTACTGTATTGTGTTTTGTTGTTGTGCTGCGCAGTCAGGCGTTGTACTTTGTACGGTATGTATGTAGGTACAGTGTGTAAACTGCAACGGAACGAAAACGCGACGCGAATTTGTTGAAGCACAGCGTCCGAACTCCAACAACACACCGTTTTTCTCACTTTCCATCTCCCTTCTTCTTCTTCCTCCGCCCTGTGGAGGGTCTATGCTTCCCAAGCAGCCCACGCTCCAGGGCTCTCACAGAAGGCCTCTTCCACAACTCCTCCAGTGGGAGCTGCCACTTCTGTGTAGTGAACGGCCTCAGAACTCCATCTTCCCGGCGAGCCACGAACATTGGCCTCAATGCAATGTCAAAGATGTCTGGCCTTCAACCTCATCGGCTTCTCCACCAGATTCGAACTCCTCGTCATCCGTCCCATCCGCGCGCAAGAAGCCATCCTCGTCATCTGCATCTGCCCAGCTCTTCTCCTGCACGTGGAGCAGTCTATATTCTATCTGCGCTGTTTGGATACATTCTTAAAGCTATGGCTATTATCTTAACAGTAGTACTACAAAATATGCAATTCCATATGGTCTTACAACTGCTGCCCACAATCCAACCCAATTTTGTCAGCAGTAGGGTGCTTGAAGTAGCGGGCAGCAATACAGGTGGGTGCATTGTACTGTACATACAGTATTGTATCCCTGTAGCACAAGCATGACTGCAAACTTCCAGGACTGCAGTATCTACTGTTGCAACTCTGGTCCGCAGCTTTGTCCAGGGTTTGTTCCAGCAAAGCCCTGCGCATTTCAAGTCGAAGCTTCCGAAGCTTACCCTCGGATTTCTGCTTCCTCATTGACATCAGTACTCTTGTACGGCGTCCGCCTGGGCTGGCGAGCTTATAGTCATAGTCTGTCGAATCAGACTTGTTGGATGCTGGTGAGTCGAGGAGCTCAAAAGAGGATGAACTAGAAGCCGGCGATGGTGGCCATTCTCACTCGGCCCGGCATAGTGTTGCCTTCTCTTCAACAACCTTGGGTTTTGAGCTGCCGAAGGCTTATTCTACAGCTACAGTAGTGTAACCGGAAATATATTCTAACTGCACTATCTGCAGCTTGCTTTGCTTTAAACACGTATAATATAGGTGTCAACCTTAAGAATGAAAGTTCTGTCACGGTCCGCGCTTAAGAATTAAAGTTCTACCAAATTTGAGTTTCACCCACACAAATACCAGTGCATGTCAATTCCAACTGCACCAAATTACAAGCAAACCATGCACAAGCAATGCAATGACCTATTCACACAAGGCAAAGCAATGCTGACTGCGAGTGCTGACTGCAATAGTGCAATGCTGACATGCAGTATATCATTCTATTCTTTCTTGCGTTGGGAACGTCTCTCTCGAAGCGTAACATGGCTGCTGTGCGCTGACTGCCGTGTTCCTGCTCCTATACGCTCTTGCAGTGTATGTGTGCTTGTGACTTCTGTTTTCCTCACTGGAAGCGGTTACTTCCATGCATATTCTAACTGCGCTATTTACGCAGCAGTTTACAATATGTTTGCAAGACATCGAGAACACATTTGACAAAACAATGCTGCATGAAAAAGTATTTGCTGGTCATGGCACCTGAGTCTATTCAACACAGCACGCCCTCCCTGTACCAAGACTCACTGTACTGTAAGTAAGATCAGATAAGTCAGCGATTGTGCAGCGCATCCTGCTTATTTCATCTTAAATATACTGTACAACGTGGTTTACAACATAGTTTTCAACAGATCTCCTAAGATATACAATACTGTACTGTACCTGAGTTTTCACAGAAAGGTAGCTTTTCAGAGGCTACAAACGTATTTAAGGTGTAGGTATAGTTTCATTGTTGATTTTGTTGATTTAGTATATTCTATCTGCACTCGTATTCTAACTGCAAATCTGCCCCCCATCGCTGTCGGAGGTCCCAATTTAAATATCTAAACCTAATTTTTTGATTTTGTATTCTAACTGTCTGTCCCTGACTGTATATAGGTCTCCAAACGAATTTTATCCCAAAACAACGCACTTCTGTTCTCTCTAGTCAGGAGATCAAACCGTCATCCTTGATCCCTGTAGTCTCCGTAGTTCAGCAAAGCAGAACACACCCAAACCATCCCAAACACCTCGGCTTCAGTTACCCGTTTGACATTCCCACTAATGTAGTCCTTGGATTAATAAAGTACCCCAGAATAGTGACACTTTTTTTCCTGCACAGATTAATAAAGGCCCCCAGAATAATGTCTTTTTTTTGGGGGAGGGATAGTTGTAGTGGGATATTTTTTATTGTTATAGTTTACTTTTTCCCTTTTGAGTTTGCTGAGATTTGCTTATCTTACAGGCTTTTGGATGGAGATTTCTATTAAACATTTGGAGATTTCCATTGAGATTTGATGCTTTTGGAGGCTTTTGGAGGCTTTTGGATGGAGATTTCTATTAAACAGTTGAAGATTTCCATTGAGATTTGATGCTTTTGGAGGCTTTTGGATGGAGAATTCTATTTAAATTTTGGAGATTTCCATTGAGATTTGATGCTTTTGGAGGCTTTTGGATGGAGATTTCCATTGGGATTTGATGATTTTGAAGGTCTTTGGAAGCAGATTTCCATTGATCTTTTATAGTTTTCCATTGGGATTTGATGATTTTGAAGGTCTTTGGATGCAGATTTCTTTTGAAATTTAGAGATTTCCATTGAGATTTGATGAGTTTGAAGGTCTTTGGCTGCAGATTTCCATTGAACTTTTATAGATTTCCATTGGGATTTGATGCTTTTGAAGGTCTTTGGAAGCAGATGTCCATTGAAATTTGTGTTGTTTGTGTTTGTGTTGCTGGTGTTTGCTGGTGCTGTGCTGGTGTTTGTTTTCATCCCCTGTCTCCTGAAAGAAATTCCCAATTCTTTGGAAGCTCTGGACCTGGAACAAGGTTCTTTGTGTGTGCCTCTTTGCTCCAATAGTACTTCAAAGCTTTGCCTGGGTGGCACTGTAAACACCCACTGTTCCACCTGCACTTGGAACAAATGTTTCCCTTTGAGATGGTTGCTTCAATCTTGTACCTTGAATCCTCGCTCAAATGCTGCAGCTTGAAGTACTTGCTGTTGGCTTCAAGCATCTCTTGGGCTTTAATGGCTGCAGCACTGGTATGATTCTTCAACTTGTTGAGTAGATCCAATGCCTTTTGCTTTGATTTCTCTTGCTGGTCTGAAATCTTTTTGGCCTTCCCTTCAAGTGTTTCTTTGCTTTCTTGAAGTTTCTTCTTCTCTGCTGCAAGTTGATGCCACCAAGCTGTAAATTTGGCCTTCAATGAGGCAATCTCTGGGTGCCCTCTGGAAGCCAAGCCTTCAAACAAGCTGCAAACCTCTGACATCATGTATGCAAGAGTCCAAAGCCCACATGTGCTTCCAACTTGCTGGAAATGGTTGCAGGCCTTCAAAGAAACCTCTTCCTTCTGTAGGAGGCTGGCTATAATGGAAGCCTTCTGTCTGCAATCTTCTGGAAGGGCTGCTAGGGTATCCCTGTACCTGAAAGTCCACTTCTGACTCTTGTCAAGCCTCTCAGCTGTAAGTAGTGTCCAATGGAACACTGTCTCATTGCTCCAAACTGGACAAAGAAGCAAACGCGAATCTGATTCCCCAAAGCTTTCAATCCTTTTCTTCAAGATAGGTCTTTGTGGAACATCCTCCCCTCTCAAATACATTGAGGTCAGAAATGGATCTATGAAGGCCACCTCTTTCATGTAGTCCTGGAATTGCCACCTCAAAAGCTCAAAGCCAAGTAGCATATGCTGAGACTCAAAGTTTTCATCATGGCTTGGAAGGTCTATCAAATCATCTCCATTGTCTGCAAAGGGTTCTGGCTTCAAGCCCATCATGAAAAGGGATTCACCTTTCCTCTGTCTAGAAAGCTTTGTGAAAGGCACCCACTCCTTGACTGGAAGCCAGTCTGCATCCTTTTTGACAATACTGGAAACTTTGCAAATCAACTGTTGGTTCTTGTCTGAAATGACTGCGCACTGCTCATCCCCATCAAACCCCAAGCAAGCCTTTGCAACCATCCCTTCTTTGCCATACTTACCTTTTCCTTCACTTTCTTCAACAATTCTACAAAGAACCATTTCCCCATCAACTTCAACCATTGCTTCCTCCTTTGCCTTGTCCTTTGCATCCTTCAATGCTGCTGGAATCATCTTGTCTGCCTCCTTTTTTTCCTTGTGGTCTTTATGGTGCTTCTTTGCTATGTTCTTCGCGACTTTCTTTAAGAAGGATGGCTTTGTTTTTGCTGATGGCTTGAAGATTGCTGAAAGTTTCTTCTTGCTTGCATTGCTCTTGGCAATCACCTGTTCAATTGCCTCCTTTTTGCTCATTCCTTTAAGCTTCTCCCTGACATTCTTCAACAAACCAGAT